CCGTGTTTCCTGTCTCTTGCTGCAACAAGCAAACTACAACGGACAACTTGTAAAGGTTCGTTTCAGACATGGGCCAAGTGTACCTTTGTGGTCCAGTCCCAGATTGAGATTGGGGGTCATAGGTTGAATGAACTTGTCATTTTTTAAATATTGCCAAGTTCCTCTCCATTAGGGTTGTGCCGTTTTGCACTCATCTGGCTAATAGACAAATTCCCTTCCCCCCGCCCCCTCCTGTGTTCCTCAACAGAATGTTGCCACACTTCTGGATTCTTGCTAACGCTGATAGGTGAGGGGAACATTCTCAGCGTGGTGTGGGGTGGGGGCGGGCGGGGTGCACCCTGGGAACCTCAGTGTCCCCACACACTGCTGTACACACAGCCACAGATGCTCAACGGTGTTACTTAGTGTCAAAGAAAGAGCCCGTTAGCTTCTTAATTTGTGTTTGAAATGCAATTTTAAATTTCTTTTTAAATTAACGGTAAAACTGACTGTTTTGGTGGATAGGTCTATGGACTTTCAGTTCCGTCACCCCAAAACCTCCCTTGCACTGTCCCGGAGCAGTCACCCTCTCCCTGGCAAGTCCCTGGCAGCCGCTGATCCCGTCCCCATCCCTACGGTTGTATCTTTTGAAGAGTTTCGTGTAAATGGAACCATACAGTACATAGCCCCCGGAGACTGGCTTTTTCTGCCCTGCATAAGTTCCTGGAGATTTCAGGCTGGGGGTGCGCGTCAGTACTTGGGTGCTTTTTGTTGCTGGGGAATATTCCACGGTGTGCCTGTAGCACAGTGTACCCGTGCTCCCGCTGAATGACACTGCGGCTGTTGCCAGGTCTGGGTTGTTACCGACAGACCTGCTATAAACATTCATGTCCAGTTTTGGTGTGAACGTCAGTGTTAATTTCTCCTCGGCATAATTTTCACTTCTTACTAGTAAGTTTAAGTACATTTCCCCATGTTCAAGGGGCGTTCATAGTTCCTTTTCTATAGAATGCTCATTTCCTTTACTCATTTTTCTGTTTGGCTGTCAGTGATTTTTATTTTATTTTTATTTTATTTTTAATTTTCTTATTTTTTAAAGATTTTTTAAAATTTATTTATTTTTGGAGAGGGAAGGGAGGGAGAAAGAGAGAGAGAGAGAGAGAGAGAGAAACATCAATGTGCGGTTGCTGGGGACTGTGGCCTGCAACCCAGGCATGTGCCTTGACTGGGAATCAAATCTGTGATTATTTGGTTCACAGCCCACACTAAATCCACTGAGCTATGCCAGCCAGGGCTAGTGACTTTTATTTTAGACAAAGTTGTCTTGGGGGACTATGGGGGCATCTGGATAAAATGTGAAGCGTTCTGTTAAAAAATGGGGGACCAAGGCTTGCGAGAGACACCTGAAGACATAGACTGGAGATTCACACAGATGCAGAATGGAAGCTGAAGCCACAGACCTGCACAAACCCTTCATGGGGGAAAACACGCAAAGCTTACAGGCAGAATCCATGGAAATGCCCACGCTTAGGATGTGAAAACAGAAAAACCTAACTTGTTAGTGGTCAGAGAAGAGCTGGGATGGTGCAGGGTAACACTAATAGAAGCTGAATATGAAAGGTCTGCTAGCCCTGAACAATGAGGCTCAGTGAGTTGACCATCAGCTCACAAAGCAAAGGGTCGTTGGTTTGATTCCCAGTTGGGGCACATGCCTGAGTTGTGGGCCGGTCCTTGGTTGGGGTACCTGCAACCAATCTGTGTTTCTCTCACAAATTGATGTTTCTCTCCCTCTCTTTCTATCTCCCTTTCTGCCCCTCTGTCTAAAAATAAATAAGTAAAACCTTTTAGAAAGAGAGAAAGAAAGGAGGGAAGGGAGGAGAGAGGGGGGAGGGAGAGAGAAAGGAAGGAAGGAAGGGAGGGAGGGAGGGAGGAAGGGTGGGAGGAAGGGAGGAAGGGAAAAAAGAAAAAAAAAAGGCAAGGCAAGAAAGGGAAAGAAAGGAAAAGGTCTGCTAAATAAAAGTGTGTAAACCCACAGGACAGTGTCCAGAAGAACATCTCCTTCCAAGAATTCCAAGCCAAAGCCCTACAACTCATTCGGATTTGGGCAGCTTAGGCCACCCCTACAGCAAATACTGTCACCAGGAGATACAACATATTGATTGGCCTACCTAGGTCACATGCTTCAACTCCATAATTTCCCAGAACCTTGTGGATCCCCAAGGAAAAATATGAGGTTATTGGGAGAAAAAACAACCAAATAATGTCTGTAAGTGGCCTTTGAAAATGGTGCATCATCTAAATCTAGGAATTTAAACGGCACTCGTTTTTCAAGTTGAAGAAGTAGACGCAACTGGTATAGAAAATGCAATCCAAGAGTGTGGGTTCATTTTGGTAATCAGGATGCTTAAAGGAAGGATTTTTTCCTTTTTCCAAAAATGAGTCAACACCTGTACATATTCACAGGCATGGGGAAAGGAATCATGGGAAGGGAGACTGTGGAGATGGCAAAGCCTGCCCCGGGGATAACTGAGGAGAGAGATGAAGGCAGAAGTACGAGCAGGTGAAGTCCCAGGTGCCACACAGAGCACAGTGGAGCCACAGGGCTCCTCTGAGGAGGCAGGTGGTACCCCATCCACTCCTGCTCCTCCCTATGCTGGTGCCCATGGAGAGCTACTTCAGTGGCTTCACTCTGCTCACAGGATGTTGTCCTCAGGAAGCGGACTGGACTTCAGGGCCTTGTAGGAGGTGTCTCCTGCCTGTTTGCTCTCTCATCTCTCATCCTAAAGGACCACCAAGAGCCACACAAACCAGCCTTCTCCTCCTTAAATAACCGAATCATCTCTCTGCCGGACTGTTAAGTTCTGCACGGAACCGATTATGTACTTGTCTCACACTGGATCCACTAGCACCATGTCTGGCATACAGCAGGCACTCGTGAGTGCTCCTCGGAAGGATGAATGGATGCCCACTGATCCGGAAATTTGCTGTAGCCTCAGCAATTTTTTCCTAAGGTCTAATTCTCACCCATTGTTTGAGAGGTCATTTTATTAGAAAGTAAGCAAGGGAAATAATGAAGTTATTACAAAATGAAACATCAAGTCTTCAGAATTCTATTTTTTTTAAAGATTTTATTTATTTATTTTTAGAGAGGGAAGGGAGGGAGGGAGAGAGAGAGAGAGAGAAAACATCATTGCACAGTTGCTGGAGGTCATGGCCTGCAACCCAGGCATGTACCCTGACTGGGAATCGAACCTGCGACACTTTGGTTCGCAGCACACGCTCAATCCACTGAGCTACGCCAGCCAGGTAGAATTCTATTTTTTAAAAGATTTAATTTATTTCTAGATAGAGGGGAAGGGAGAAGGAGAGGGAGAGAAACATTGATGTGCAAGAGAAACATCCATCAGTTGCCTCTTGCACTCCACCAACTGGAGACCTGGCCTACAACCCAGGCGTGTGCCCTGACTGGGAATCGAACCAGAGACCTTTCGGTTCACAAGCCAGCACTCAATCCTCTGAGCCACACCAGCCGGGGCAGACTTCTATTTTGTGTCTATGTGAAAAAAGGGTGAAAGGCAACATGTCAACATATAGGCAGGGTTGACTCCAGGTAGTGGAAATAAGGATCTATTTTTGTCCTTCCACTTTTCAGTGTTTTCCAGATTAAATTGCATATGTATCACTTCCTAGTGTCTTCCAGATTTTCCAGTGTATTGGGAGAAATGTTTTAAGTTGTTCAACTATAAACTTTCAAAACAATCCACGTGAAACTTTGTAACAAAACTGCAGCCAGCTCCCCATTCTGACTTAGCTGTATTCATCCTTTAATTACACTGATCCATCTTCTAGTAGATTTTGCAATGGGAACACTAAAGGAAGAAGAAGATGGATGATATTAAGGAGTTAAAGATACTTCAGGCAGGCACTTAAGGAAGAAAGGGAAGGAGAAAGGGAGGTATGGAGGGAGGAAGAAAGAAAACCACAATCTCAGATGCTATACAGAAAGATTGGGTAGCCCTGGCTGGCATGCTCAGTGGATTGAGCACGGGCTGCGAACCAAAGCATCGCAGGTTCAATTCCCAGTCAGGCCACATACCTGGGTTGCAGGCCACAGCCCCCAGCAACTGCACATTGATATTTCTCTCTCTCTCTTTCTCCCTCCCTCCCCTCTCTAAAAATAAATAAATAAATAAAATCTTTATTTTTTAATATATATATATTTTTAAAGATTTTTATTTATTTTTTTAGAGAGGGAAGGGGGGAAGAGAGAGAGAGAGAGAGAGAGAGAGAGGGAGAGAAACATCAATGTGCGGTTGCTGGGGGTTATGACCTGCAACCCAGGAATGTACCCTGACTGGGAATCGAACCTGGGACACTTTGGTTCCCAGCCCGCGCTCAATCCACTGAGCTACGCCAGCCAGGGCTTAAATAAATAAAATCTTTAAAAAAAAATAAAAGAAAGAAAGATTGGGTAAAGCGAGCATGGAGCAGCCACTCAGTGAGAGTGTGGCGTGGTGGTGCTCTGGTGCCACCGCACCCCGAGGTCTGCTCAGACCACCCGAACAGGGGAGCCCTGCAAGCGAGGTGGTGTGGCCGCGGCTGTACCAACCTCCTCCTTTTGCCCGCCTGCTGCCACCCCAACCCCTGCCGGCCAGGAAGGGACGATGCCACCTGTGTGAAGATCACAGTGATACTTGTCATATAACATTAAATCAAAAAGAACTGAAGGTGGAAGGAGCCATGTGATCATAGCTGTGCATTACGGAAACCAATATAGAATTTCTTCCCAAAGAAAAACTGGAAGAAAATGCATCACGTGCATAGCATGCTTATTGTTTGTATCATTCCTCCTTTTAAATTTTGTCTACATTTTTACCAACATGTGTTTAAAAATGAGGCAGTGTAAAAATTGGTTTTTACATGTCAGATCGACTATGTTTGAGACAAAATTACACCTGCAGACAGGGGAGCTCTCACTGGCTGACCGCGCTCTCTCCTCTCCTCTCCTCTCCTCCCCGCAGGATGTGCTGGGTGGCGTCCTCATCACCGCAGTCCTCATCGTCCTCACCTACCCTTCCTGGACCCTCATCGATCGCCTGGACTCAGCCAGCCCCCTCTTCCCCGTGTGCGTCATAGTGGTGCCCTTCTTCTTGTGCTACAATTACCCCGCGTCGGATTACTACAGCCCGACCCGGGCGGACACCACCACCATCCTGGCCGCCGGGGCCGGGGTGACCATAGGATTCTGGATCAACCGCTTTTTCCAGCTCGAGTCGGAGCCCCTGGACTCACGGCCCGTGATCCAGCACATCCCCCCACTCACCGCCGACGTGCTGGTTCTGGGTCTGACCAAATTCGCCGTGGGAATCGTGTTGGTCCTCCTGGTTCGCCAGCTGGTGCAAAAGCTCTCGCTGCAGGTGCTGTTCTCCTGGTTCAAGGTGGTCACCAGGAACAAGGAGGCCAGGCGGAGACTGGAGATCGAAGTGCCTTACAAGTTCGTCACCTACACGTCTGTCGGCATCTGTGCGACCACCGTGGTGCCCATGCTGCACAGGTTCCTGGGGTTGCTCTGAGGCCCAGGCCGCTGGAAGCAAGCCCCCTGGATGAGAGCCAGGATGTGGGAAAGTTGTGGGGTGGGCAAGTCTTGACAACACATTTTATTTTGAAGAAATTCTTTAAGTCACATGTCTGTTTTGCTGATAGCCATGATAAATGCTGTTACTGTACGGGGAGGGGGGTGGGTGTTGACTTGTCTCGGAGGAGCATTAGTTGGGAAGGGTCATGCCACATGGGAAGCCAGGCTGAAACTCAAACTCAAGTTCTTGAAGGGTCCCCACCCTCCCTGGGTGTCAACTTGGACACTAGACCAAGTCAGGGGCTGGTGGGAACAGTGCCCACAGCCACACCTGGCTCTGGAGAGGTGGACAGGATCTGGGGGGCTGGGGGGCGGGCCTTTCTCCTGGGGACAGCCTTGCCCACGCTGAGTCTCCTTTCCCAAACTGGAACTTTGGTCCAGGAGAAAGGGCGGCACCCTGGAAAACTGCATTCCTTACAGTGACTCTCTTGTCATTATGATCAAATTAGCCTGTAGCGTCCCAGTCTCTGCAGGTGTGAATATTGAAACAGGGGTCTGCCCTTCCCGGTGTGTGCATTTGCGGGGACTCCAGGCACCATCGCTACGCTCTTCTGATCCGTGGAACCCCCTGGCTGCTCCTGCCGCACCGGGCAGGTGGCGGTGAGCCTTCCTCAACAGCAGGTACCCCCGAGCTTCTCTCAGTGCCCTGCTCTCTCCTGCTTCAGAGGAACTTGGGATAAGCCCTCTGCCCATCTCCAGCTTCTCTTGCTTCCTTACAGACTGTTGTCTGCATGTGAAAGTGGATCCAGAGAGGAACAGAGAATGTAACTCCCCCTGGAGCCTGACACAGAGAGACTCAGCCTCAGGCATGGCCTGTCCTGACATCGCTCCTCCATTTCTCCGTTACTTTCTGTCCGTGTTTCTCTCTACCAAATAGAATCAGGGGCCCCCTTTCTGTCTCCCCCCCCCCCATCTCTTGGCAATCTTCAGGGTAATTAATGCAAGAGTAACAGTCAGCCTCTTTTGGGAAAACAAGCCAAGCAAACACAATAGCCTTTGCACGGAGGGTGTGTCCTCGGGACGCGCAGGCAGGTGACCCACACCAGGGGCTTCTCTCGCAGGCCGCCTTTCCGGTTACTGAGAGTAAGAAACACGTAGCAACAATTTTTCTCAGAAGTTAGTGTAAATACGTAGTTAACAAAGTACCTTTTGTGGTCCAGTGCTGGAGCCACCGCCGTGGCAATTTATAACCCTCGCGCGTCTGGGCCGAGCACACGCTGGGGGAACCGAGCCTGCCCGGGGAGCGCGGCTCTTACCTCCGCGACCTGCGTGGAAGCGGACACCGCCGATCTCTGTCCTGCCCTCCCACGTGTTCCCGGGCCTCATGGCTGGAATGGTCTTTCGTGTTTGATTTAGTGCTCCAGTTTCTTGAGAATAATTTTTAGTAAAACATCCTGTTCTTCCTTCAAATTCTCCTCACATTTTTCAGTTAGAAGGCAGGGATAAAAATGGGCCGCCAATCGACTGTTTTTGCATCATACTGACTGGTGTTCGTGGCACCACGCGTTGGGGTGGGGGGCGGTGCTTGGGGCCCTCCGCCCCGCCCCTGCCCCTGCCCCCAGTGCAGTGGGTGAGGCGCTTTCCATTCCCCGATGCCAAACCACTGGGTAATTATGCAAAATCATTTCAGTTGATTTGTCTGAAGCCACCCGACAAAAGCATTAGCCTTTGCCACTTGCACCGTTTGTCGTCACAAGCACTGGGGGTTGGCGATCCATCGGTGGCCTCCCAACAGCAGGAAGGCCAGTCCGCTATCCTGAGGTCCTCAAGGCTGCATTTGCGCAGTTTGGACTGAGCCCTCGCACACCGAAGAACGAGCCAGGGATTGTCAGGGTTGGCCGCTTTTTCAAGTATCTTCTTACAGCAACTGGAGGCTAAAGAGTGTGCGTGGATGAGGCCAAGCTCAGTCTCTGCGCTCCCGCTTGTCTGCTTCTCGCACTGATAGTCTCTCCCCGCTCAGCCTTTCCCATCCGCACAGGCCCTTCTGAGTTTGCCTGGGTCCACTGTGAAGATGCTTTGATTTTCTCTCTGGGGAAAGACTGCCCCCTGCTGGTCTACCCTCAGTCTTGCTCCAAAGCCCCTCTCTTGATCTCAGAACTTCAAAAATGATTAAAAAAAAAAAATTATCAATACTTAAGAAAAATCAATAGGATAAAGAAATTTGAAAAAATGCAACTACCATCAAAATTTTAAAAAATGAACTCGAAAGGCAAGCTCACCGTGATGTATCCAGTAGAGGCCAAAGATCCTCCAGCCTATAGCCAACCCTACCCTTGGAACCTGTGACACCAGAGCCCTCCGGATCATTGGCCCCTGCAGGAGCCGGGTGGGGGGGGCGGGGGGGGGCGTGGGACCAGACGCCTGTTTCCTCCTTGCCCCCATCTGGCCCCCAGCCCACCACTGCTCTGGCCCAGGGCATCCTTTCTGTAACCATCCCTCCAAGGAGTGTTCCTTTTGTGCCAGTTTTGCTCAGACCTGCGCCGTAACGGAATACGCAGAAGAGACGCAGACAAGACTCCTGAACGGACGCTCCACAGCACGCCTGACGGTCGCGCCGTGACGTGGGGTCTTCCTGCTTGGAGAGGCGGCTGAGACTTCCCGAGAGTTATCAAAGCTTGTGGTGTCGCAGGGCCATATGCTCTGGTTTCTATTTTGGAAGCTTTCAGCCGTCTTGCTTATGTACTGTTATGTAAATTTATTCTTTTAAAAATAAAATCTTTTTTTTGTTTGATTTTGCCTTATTAAGTGCTTTAAAAGCCAGTTTCTGCTTCCTTAGGTTTTTTTTCCCCTAGACTTTTTTTCTCAGGGTTTATTGGGCCTGAGTTTGACAGAGGGGACAGCAATATAAAGCAGGCTATGTCCTTTTCTGTCACTGTCATAATTCAATCACATGCAAATGTCGGCGAGTGTCACAGAGGTCACAGGTGTGATTAACAGGAGGTAAGGGTGTGTCTGCATGCTTCAATACCCTCAAACTCCTTGATACTACAGAGCATCCTTTTACCATAATCATAGATAAGTGTCACTGTGTGGTGACAGGTGAACTTTATAGGTCCTCCTAGTTAAGGTCATGAAAGGTATACTGTTTGCTGAACCAAATGGACACAATCCTATTTCACACCATTACCACAATATGCTCTGCCCTCCAGCATCAAGAACTTGCTATTTGAAATGGTACGGAAAGCTGACACTCTTATTTGCAAGGCCAAGGATAGAGTCCTGTTTGTACTTGGAACAGTATGTATTTCCTACTGAATAGGCACCTCGGGCATAGGCAGATGAGACCCCCATCAGTCCTGTGGAGTTTTCTTAGGAGAGCAGAAGCCCAGGTTCAGAGAATCACATTTCAAGATCCACAGTGTTAGGGCTGGGGAAAAATAACCACGCTGTGGGAGTTCAGAGGAGTGGGGGTGAATTCCAGCTTGGGGGCTGCAGCAGCTCAAGGGAGGCTCGTGGGGGAGGGGATGCACAAGCCAGTGAGGTTTGCACAGGGGGGCATGTGCAGGGGAGCAGGTGCAAGGTGGCGCTCCAGCGCCAGAGGGCCTGGTGTATTGGAGGCCTTCCCCAAACACCTCCGTCCAGCTCTCACTGGGAGAATCCCAGCCAAACCCCTGCTGGCTGGCCTTTGCAGATAGAAATAACAGTGCTGGCAGGCTCAGCAGGGGGCTTTGACGTTGCAGAAGCAGATCACAAGAACAGGAAGGAAGTCTGAGAAGTCACTTAGTCCATTTCCTTGTGTCCACGTGGGGCCATTCAGAGCAGGTGGCACCAGAAGGTGACTCCAGTCTCCTCTCATTTTCCTCATTGGAGCCCAACGGTCTGCAGTGGGCACCCTCCCCAGCCCCGTTCCCTCCGGCTCTGGCCCTCCCAGACACAGCTTCATTCCCGTGTCCTCTTTCGGCTCTAAGCAGAGGTGACGGCAGCCGGGGACTCGGTCTGTGTCCCTGGTGCCTTCCTCCCTCCTCTCTCTGCTTCGTTCCCTGAACTGGTCCTGTGGAATTTCACTTAAAAAACATTTCGCATGAGCCTGGCTCTTCGGGGACCTGTAAGTGCGTCGAGTCTCCCTTTAATGACACTGAATGGAGCGCTGGGTCTCCAGGAAGAGGTTGACCAGGACCAAGTGGATCAAGCATGTAGATGTATCTCGTTTTAGAGAACAGTTGTGGTCCTAAAAGCTGCCTCTGTTTGGACTTTCTAAACTTGAATTTTAAGTGCGCCAAGGGGTGTGCTGTTTAAAATCACATGGCAACTCACCATTCCTGAAAACATAAGCGCTTTAATGAATTACTGCAGTCGGCCACACGTCCGTTGTTTCCTTAAAGTGGGGCACACCTGCGGGGCAGACGTGGCTCGTCCCCGGGTGCGTGCGAAGAATGAGCGCTGAATGTGAACCAGGAACAGAATGTCACATTCTAAAAAACTGCGGCCACATGAGACAAGGGAGCTTCGGGAAGCCAAAAATCCGTCTTCCTTCTCCACGCCTGTCTCTGTGGCATGCAGAAACAAAGTAGGAAAGCGAGGGCGCAGCGAGCAGTTCCGGCAGGAAGGCTCCTCTCGTGCACACGCTCAGCCCATCTGCTGGCCTCGTTCCTCGTCGCGCTGACGGCAGGGTCCCCTCGGGTGGAGCACAGGCCAGATTCTTCCCCAGCGGAGGTGTTCAATGAATGGGAATGCCTCTGGACGCAGCTGGCCTCAAACTGCTGGGGGCGGGGCAGGGCGACTCGGGGCTGCCTTCTTGCCATCTGCCTGCATCTGTGGGTCTACACAGGAGTGGTGTCCAGCCTGCAGTCTCTCTCAGTTTCATGGAAACGGGATGGGTGGCTCTGTGAGAGAGCAAGTCACACACAGGGCACACCCAACGCAGGTCAGTTTAGCTGACTCAGTTAGGGGCTGCTAAAACACGAGGCTGGAATGCCATTTTTGTTGTGGAGGAGAAAGATGTTGTTTAGTGTAATTTGTTTCATGAAATCAATGAATTCTGCTATTGACTAGGTATTAGCATTATTTTCGTCAGCTTGTTCTTTTTCCTTTTCACCTCTTGCACCGTAGTTTTCTTCTCTAGGAATTCAAAGCAGGCCTCTTCCACGTCCCAACTCGGCCAGTCCCTCCTCTGGCTTCTCGCACATCTGGAACACCGCTGTTGCAGTGTCCTTGTCCACAGTGTTATCCGCCCTGCCACGTTCGAGCTTTTGGTTCCCGTTTTCCTCCCCTTCTTCATGAAGGCCTGTATTTCCCGGCTTCTTTGCTTGCCTGGTAATTTTTATCGGGACTGTGAATTTTACACTGTTGGGTGCTGGATATTTTTGTATCACTATAATATTCTTAAGGTTTGTCCTGGGATGCAGTTTATTCCTTGGCACTAGCTTGATTCGTCTGGGTCTTGTTCTTAGGCTTTATTAGGTGGGACTAGAGGAACATTTAGTCTAAAGTTCGTGTTCCCAGTAGTGAGGCAAAAGCCTTCCAACGACATTCCCCATGCCCCGCCCTGCCCCCCAGTTTCTGCGGGTTTCCAGCCCAGGCCAGTGTGGGCTCCAGGGAGTGCTCCTTCTGTTCATCGTGGGAGGTCACAGGTGGTCTCTGTAACAGGCAGTGCCCTCACGTGCAAGTGCGGATCAGCACCTGACTTTGGGCTCAACAGGTGGGGCGGGGGGCTCTGTGCACGTCTCTGCAGCCTCCACCCTCCCTGCCGACCCCGGCTGCTCGGGCTGCCGTGGCCTCTCAGCCCCGGCTCACCTCCTGGGGGTCCATCCCTGCACCACAGCCCAGAGGGCCAGCTGGGTAATCACAGGACTCCCTTTGTTTATTTCGTGCCTCTCAGGGATCACTGACCTTCACTGCTTGTGCCCAGTGTCCTGAAAAGCACTGTTTTGCATATTTCGTCTGGATTCCTAGCTGGGGTACACAAAGTAGGAAGAGGCTCCCTGGGAAGAAAGAAGAAAAGGTGTGTGGATCAGCCAGGTGCTTAAATAGCTTGACAGTCGAAGAGGACGTCAGGTCTGGCCGATGCACACCCGTCCTCATTGCACCCCGGTACAAACACCAGTCCAGGGCCTGCCCGGGGCAGGATGTTTTGTGGGCAAAACGGGATTGTGAGCCATGTCTTTACTGGCCCGAGGGGCCAGCCCTGCAGACGGCAGGGACGGCAGGAGTGGCAGCGAGGCTCCCGGGTTCCAGGTGGGGTGGCTCCTGTTCCCACAGTAGAGGTAGTCAGTCACGTGACGTCCCCTACATGTCTAGGACTCTGAACTACTGGGGTAACACACTGCTCGGGCACCAAACTCACATCTGAGAACACCTACCCCCACGCGTCTGCGAATGTGACCGTCAGACAGCAGATGTGGGCACTCATCCAGTTGTACAGCCCAAGGACTTGTTTTTGGGGGTCTGAGCCAGGGCTATTTTAGGGGGGCTATAGCAAAGTCCACTGGCGCACTGTAACTGCAGAGGTGGGAACAACAGAGTGTCTTCAACGGGAACAGCGGAACACGTCACGGACATCCGTGTAACAGAACGTCACACCATTTGTGTCCAAGAATGAGGTAGGGCTGTAGGTCCTGAGCTGGAAAAATGGGACATGTTAAGTGGAATGTCACCTGCTAGGCTAGGTGAAGTACAAGTCAAGACTTGCTGTGAACCAGTAAACAGAGCATGACCCACACGCTGTGGGCATGTCCGTGGCCGGCTGTCCAAACAAGGGAGCATGTCAGAAACAACACAAGCCGAACTGTTAGGAGTGGTAATGGACTTCAGGGCATTGCAGGGAAGGGTGCAGTAGTGGGAAGGCCTTACTTTGTATAGCTTTTCTAAAGTGGCAGTGTTAAGATTTTCAACTTGTTTTTCAGTATTTTTATATAAAAACCTGGTAAAAATATGTCAACATTCTGGATAAGGAGATAAAGTCCAAAACACTGAATGATCGTGAACTCCAAGTCACCTTTATTCGGTGTCTCCATCCTGCTTATTAGCCATGGAACTTTGGGGCACGTCCTGAATCTCTCTGAAGGTCTTCTGTTCTATAAATCAGAGGGAATTCCTATTCTACCTACCTCCTATGACCAATAAGTTAAAACATTTAAATGTTGAAACAAGACCCCATGTGAAAATACTCGATGAAACTCAAGCCATGCAGGAATGCCGGGCTGCAGTAGAAGTTATCTGTAAATGAGAACACGCATCAGAGAGATTTCCCTTTTAGTACCAGGGCCCCCGTTTTCCCGAACGTGTGTCTGCTCCAGGAAAGGGTTTTTGGCAGCGCCCCCAGACTGCTCTGGCTCCAGCTCAGACGCCTCGCCAGGGACAAGGAAGATGATCTGGCTGGGGGACCTCGACTCTTTAGGCTGCAGGCTCATTTCCTCTTCTCGGGTGCCGACAGCATTTTTCTCCCCTGCTGCTTCCCACTTCAAGGGGCAGAAACATCCACGTGATGGATGGCCCTGATCTTCCCCCTTTCGTGCTGGGATCCACGATTAGGTATCACTGGGGTTTTTATTACTAGTTTCTGACCATTCCAAACATGCCCAGGCGGCTGACTGCTACCAGAATGAATGGCCCCACCCACTCCGACCATGGCTACCATTGGAACCGTGGTGAAACCGAACCTAGGGGAGAATGTCTTCTGGAGCAGCCTCGCTGACCCTAAAATTCACTCTCCCCGCCATGCACACATAGACTGGTGTCGCACAAAATTATCAAAATGCGTGTTGCATCAACTCTCCCCTCCCAGCTTTCCTGAGGTATAACCTATATCGTTAAGGCCGCTCGCTGTTTCCGTCACCCGAAGGTTTCCTCTTAACCCTCTGCAGTGGGTCCCCTTGACATTTTTAGAACTGCATGTAAGTGGGATCACATCCGGCCTTTAGTGCTGGCCTTTCCACCTTGCCTGGTGCTTTGAGATTTAGCTCAAGTATCAGTTCTTTTTTTTTTCCACTGATAAGTATTCCATAATACAGATACACTGTGCTTATCCATTCATCTGTTGAACCTTTGGGCTGTAGCCACTCTAACACTGTGTGAACAGCTGCATAAAAATCTTTGTCTTACTGTCTTAAGTTACCAATTTTGTCTTATTAAGTTGTAAGAAATCTTTGTATGCTGGATATAAACCTTTTGACCAGCATTATTTTTTATGAGCATCTCTCATTCCATTTTTGAAATGTTATACGGATGTGCTGACGGCAGACGGGAAGGAACAGATGCAAGTCCGTGGTCGCGATGCTTGCTAAGTGGGGCGCTGCTGTCCTCCTTCGAGGCAGCAATATGGTCATGTTTGTTCTGAGAAGTAGGTTCAGCAAGAGTTCCAGAAATATAATTCTAGTCTGTCTGTCTTGGCTATTTCTACCTCACTGCCGTTCGAGCTTTACATTTTACTGGGTTCTGTGTCATCACGGCAGGAACTGCGCACACTTCAGCAGCAGTAGGGGGCACCACCGGAGGGTTCCAGGTCAGCGCCTGAAGTAAATTGGGAGGTAAGCTCAGGCGGACCGGCAGAAGCCTAACTTCAGACACGAGCTAACGCCTCCCTACAAAGTAAGACAGAGACTAGCAGCTCAGTTAAGCATATAAAACAATGATTTTGGTTTTAGAATAATGATTATAGTAAAATGTCTGGCCTAGGGCCGTGAGTTTTTCATTGTTTCCTAATGTTCAAACTACACCGATATCAACATGGCTTTTGTTACTCTTCTGGCAGAACTTATTTATCTTGTGTAAACTCTAGGTCTATCTCAGAGTACAGGTAAGAGTAAAAAACACCTACATACTCTCAGATATGTTGCATATTTGTGTTGTAGATTTTTGTTTCACTTTAAAATGACTTCAGAGGCTGTAATTACTAGACCATCACTGATTCTTAAAGATGTTCTAAAAATGCTATGTCATCATTTCCCAAGCATGAACACAGGTCAGATGTAGAAACTGAAAACTAAAAACCCTCCGTCACGGTGTGCCCGGTCAGCGTGCGCTCTAATCAACCCCCTGGACTCGTCACTGGGAAGAACGGGCCCCGCCCTGCAGCCGTCCTCACTGCCCACGGTCGGTGTGACGCCCTGGTGTCCGAGGAGCCTCTCAGATTTTCGGACGGATCTGCCCTCCGCTAGTGCATTTCTCGTGTACCACTGAGCTTTTACCAAACAAAGAAGCATCACCCAGACACCACATTTGTATTTGCACAAGCAAGCTGGCCTAATGCAGGGCACGGCGGGCCTACCCACAGAGGAGACAGTGCCCTCTGCTTTATTCAACATCAGTGCACAGTGGCTGTTCCCCGTGAGCACAACTGAAGGACACCCGTGGAGGAGAAGGGGACTCTCGGGCAGAGAACCACACAGCCGAGACCCATCTTCACAGAAAGGGCTCAACGTTGATCTCCAGCGAGGAGCAGGGCAGGCTCAGCTCAAATCCGGTGATCACGTCAGGATGGAGGACCCCCAGCTTCCCGACGCTCTGACCCCTGACGAAGACCTCGGCACATCGCCCGGGGAAGAAAGCGGGGCCTGCAAAACAGAAGGAGAGAAACATCAAGGTTTCTCCCGGCAAAAACGCCAATGGACATTTAACACTGAAAGCTCACTCGTCTACTCTAAAAATAACAATGCTTCTCTAAACCACGGACTAGGAAATGAGAGTGCTTCCTCACACCTTCTGGCCCTAAGAAGAGGTGTTTGCTACCTCCCCCCAGCACCCCCCCCCCCCAGGAGGGCTGAGGGGCGACAGGAAGCGGGGCCCCAGCAGAGGAGGAGGGATGAAGGAAGGGGAGCTGCAGGGCGCAGTCGCGGAAGTCTCAGGGGGGCCGGGCCCAGGTGTGGAACAGGTCCAAAAAGGACAAAGGGAACAGCGAAATGTGAAACCGACGACCTTGCGTGGGAAGAACCTGTTTTGAAACAGGTTTTTCCACAGTAATACTCGCTGGACAAAAGGTCTGCATTGAAGTTTTCTACCTTATTACAGAGAAACACAGCTGCGTGTCATCGGCAGACAAAGACCTTGTCACCTGGACGCCATCCATGTTCCTGCCGGGAAAGGTGCTTGCTAAGCAGTTGTGGAGCATCGACTGTAACACCACAGCCAAGGCCGGCCCCAGACAAGTCCGGGCTGACCCCCGATTGATTTCAAGACAGGCAGAAAATTCTCTCTTCATTTGGTGCCAATGCACAGCTACGCCTCACCAAACCAGCGACAGTTCCTGAGGTTTAAAGAGCTACACACACACAGGCCCCCTCCGTGTGCACTAATGACCAGGGCCAGAGAGGGGTGTCAATGCTCTGCACTCCGCTGACATTAAAAAACAAAAAAGCAAAAAACAAAAAACGCTGACTCACTTCTCTCACCACCAACTTGAAAAAGGATCGGGCCCACAGCTCCTGACTGATCCAACCGAAACGTTTACTGGCCTGAGCTATAAATACCCCGCGGAGCTGGGCCGCGGGCCTCCAGCCTGCCACTCCAGGCAGAGTGCATTATTTATGAACGAGCAAACTGCTGAGTCTCCACTAATGGCTCCAAGGTCAACATAATGAAGAAGTTCAGAAATGGGGGGGCGGGGTGTCAGGTCAGCACCAGCTACTCCACAGAAACACAGGGGATCACACGTACTTCCTGACCAGCACAGAAGGACGTTTGTTTATCGTCCTGAAAAAGTTTTGTCATTATTTAAAATTCCCAATTGAATTATAAGGTGGTCTGTTTTTCACACCTCCCCAAAACTAAAGAATCCTGTTTCATTGTCTATTAAAGCAGGCATTTCAAAGGCCTGCGTCTGAAGGTCATAATTATTTGGCTACGTGCGCTAATGTACCCTTGGGAGAGGGGTGGGAAGAGGACTCAAACTAACAGAGAAACCAAGCTGGACTGACAAGGCAGAAGCTCAGTGATGTATGAAGAGCTAAACCTGATGAAGACGGCACGCTTGAACTCTATCAAAATGAAAACCTAACTTAAAAGACAGTACCATTCCCCTTCCCAGTAAAAGAAATCTTCAGATGATACCAGTGAAGTTTGGGCGCAGTTACTGAGGGTGAGCAGTACAACCAGCAGTCACGGGTCGGGCTGCTGGGAAGTCACTCCGTCTGTCCGTCACCCACCCCCGGCCGCTGCCCTCGCTCTGCACTGCCCACACGAGCTGCGGACCACCCCAGCCCACCTGAAAGGCCATTCAGAAAGGACATGTTCAGGACCTTCCCTGACAACCTTTCCGTGTTTAGGAATCCCCACTGTACCCAAATCCTCCCTTTTATCTATCTTCAAATTCCAATTTGATTGGATTCCTTTAACTAAAGCGTAAAACTAGACTATTTCAGAATCTAAGCCAGATGTGCTAGTTCTGACAGTGTTATCAAAATAAAGCCTAAGAGAAAAAAGAATTTAGAGTCTTTACTTCGTAAAACAACTTTTAGAATCGGCACTTTTTAGCAAAGTTCAGTTCGTATTCATACTCTTCTTCAGTGAGCAAGTATGGTAATACCTGCTGCACCTCCCTCCAGGAATCTGGACCAACTTCGCTTTTTTCATGAAACACTTAGGTAAACAAAAATATTCCTATCACTAAATATAATTTTCTCTTTCCAAAGAAAACTGAAATTCTTATGCATTACTTAAAACGTATGCAAGTTTGAGAATAGTCAAAATGACGTAAATATCAGACACCCCCAGCCCAGCACGTGGAGGGACCCGCAGAGTCAGTCCCCAGGCCCCCGGCCCTCACACCCAGCGACAATCCCCTCCTGCCCCACCCGTGGGTGCAAGTTCAGCCCAGTAATGGGGTCTCTGCATAAACTCCACTTTACAGAAAACTGGACACTTCGACCTGTGATGACAATTTAACCTTTTCTTGCCATTTTTTCATTTCTAACAAGGTCAGATTATGACAGAAACATTTCTTATGGTTTTCCCTTCGACTCCCTGCTCAAGTTATAACAAAGCAGAAGTTCGGTTTTCCAGACAGGAACTGAAAGACACACAAAAGCGCCTTCGGGTTTGAAAGGGGTACAGAGAAAACCCCAAAATATGCCACTTGATGTTGTAGGTGAACTAGAAATAACTGAAAGGAAATTTAAAATTATAAAAACACCAGCATTTCTTAGTGCATTTTAAGAACCCTCACGGTTCAAACCAGACCCTGCAGGCAGAAATGGACTGCCTCCCCAGCAGCACAGAGGGCACGCCCCTGGGAGGCCAGGGAGCCCCAGGCCTGCAGCGGGCAGTGTGATCAACATGCCCCGGCTGGGACTGATGCCGCTCCACTCAAAGCCTTTCCTGAAGGAAAAAAGTCACCTCCAAATGGAACCCTGGGTCCAGGCTTAGGAACAGGCAGAGCTGGATCATGGATAAGGGCTACTCTCGTCTCGTCTCGCCGACAGACAGGCAGACAGACATGTTTCTGGAGAAAAAACAGCCTGTTGTGTGTAGAAACAAGAGGCTGCCGATTCAAGGAAAGTCATGTTGCCCTGTAAATGGGAATTCTAAAACTCAAATCCTACAAAGTACATTTGTTTTCTTTTTTTTTTCATGTGTTTGAGCCCAGAGTCCCTGGCACACGGATGTACCAAGATGCATAAATAGAATTTTCAACCCGTGTCCAAAATGCTCCCCAGCAAAAAGCCTCTCAGCACGACTCCCCCCCTCGCTCCTTACACTGATTAAGCTCAGCTCTGCCAGTGTCCGTCCCAGTGAAAGGGTTTCCAACATGAAGCAGATTTGGGGAAAATAGCGTTCTCTGTTGAAATACATGTGGGAGCCCAGACAAAAGAAACATAGGCTGAGCACAAACAAGAATTTCCAAAACTTAGTGGGGTGTAAGTAAGTCCCTTAATTAAGGCCTTTGTAGCCCCTCCGAGAGGTCTGTAATTGTCTCTGTGCTCCGACGGCAGGACCGCTTTGAGGACCTGGGGCTGATTCTGGGCGGGTAATCCTGGGCAGCGCCCGCCTTTAGCACATTTTCTGGCTAATTGACCTTCAAAGAGCTAGTGAGCCCCTCCCCTGCTCATTGCCAAACACCTTCCCCAATGTCGCCTTGCCCCTTTCTTTTAGAGTAATATTCCAGGACCACGGTCTGGACGGACCTTCCTCATAGACTCATTCCTGTAACCTGATGAAGCATCGGAAGTAAGAGGTTAAGGTGGCAACTGAGCAGACCCCTAACCTGAAAGGTCGAGGCTGTTATCAAGCACGAGACTCTTAATTCCTTAATAATAACCCCCTGCTAGGAGGTTAATATTAAGGAATTGATAACTCAACCAATTTACTTGGTATTTAGTATTCAGTTCATCTCTAATTTACCTACCAATAAATTTTACTTTTCCCTTCCTGCACATCACGAGTGTATGCTTTAGAGGTTTAAACCCACATACTGTAACTCCCTGCAATTTGGTACTTACCACCCAAATTTTCTACAATAAAAAAGTAAAAACAAAATAAAGAGGGCAGGGAACACTGAAAACGGAATGTCTGTCTGTCACATAAGTTTTAGCAAATAACAGAAACTACAATCATGAGCTTAATTTAATACCAACAACCAGAGGCCCCCAAATTCAGGGAGAAAATACAAAATGGAGAATTGTACAAATTCAGTAAAGCCACTGGGCCATCTGAATGTGTTTTGTATTTTACACCTGTTGGAAATGACTGCTTACGTACTGCGGGGCGAGAGGAAGGGATAATCATTTAACAGGCAGTTGGCACCTATGCAAACCTCACCCTTCCCGCCCCAACCCTGACTCCAGTGCAATCTCAGACAGAAAACAACACGTTCCACACTCCACCAACCACCCTCGCACTCACACACAGGACATAAAAAAATCCACAGTGTTCCTGCTGCCGACACGTGAACCTCACTTTGCTTTTCTATATAATGATAATTTGAAGGAACGACAAAATATAAGGCTTTAAAAAAAACTGAAGACACACACCATACATGTGAGCATGGCACCATTTTTTAAAGGAGTGGTTCTTGCAGTGTTAGAACCAGGAGTTTCTGGGGTGCACCAATGGAATTATACACTGAGCGGGGACCCAAGGAGGAGAAGGCACAGCGTAGGTAAGACAGTAAAGAAAGGACAGGGTTTAGGAGTATGACAGAAAAAAAAAGGCCTAACTACCAAATATAAGCATACACATTTTTTCAGATCTTCGTGCACTTTCGGCTGGAAGAAAATGTCTGAGCAAATACCATTTAATTTGTAAGTGGAGACTGAATAATTTCTAAGTGGTAATATGAAACACCCACTTCCCCCAGACACATAACAATTCTTCATCTTACATCTAAAGGGAAATATTTATGGTACCTAAGGTCTTTAAAGAAAGGGGACCTAATCCCTTGAGTTTAATGGCTATCTTTCATCCCCTTCTGAAGATCAAAAGAAAGAAAACCCCTTACACAACTCTGCAGTGCTAATCCCAACGCACCTGCAGACATCATTAACTCTCACCCAACGGAAACCGACACGGGAGCGCCAGGACCCACTGGGCCGCACTGCGTGGCCCGAGCTCACAGGGTGAC